ATTAAGAATGTCTGTGAACTTATTGTTGAGTGAATTGGTATTCTTACATTTGCGAAAAATAATGGCATCATCAGCATAAATTGAAAGGTTAATTTGCTTATATCTTAAAATTATGTTATTTAAGGATTGGAAGGCAATCATGAACAACACCACAGAAAGGGGCGATCCTTGTGGGATGCCATTGTGGAGAGTATAGAACTTTGATAGAGTGTTGTTTACTCTTACTCGAAATGAACGGTTGATCATGAAAGCCTTCGCTAAGTTGAAGGTCTTTTGACCTACCTCCACCGGGAAAGTTGATCCAGTACTGTATGCACCCCTATGCGATCAAAAGCCCTTTCGAAATCAGTTGCCAGAATGGTAACATGATTTTTGGTCGAAAGGGCATCAGATGCATAATGATGGAGATGCAGAAGAGAGTCAAGGGTGCTATGCTGTTGTTTGAAAGCTGTTTGGTGGGGACTGATAAGTTTTTGTTTAGTAATAAACCACATAAGTCTTTTGGCTAACATTTTTTCCAGAGTCTTGCTTAAACAAGGAAGGAGAGAAATGGATCTAAAGGAAGATATTTCGTGAGCTGGTTTATTTGGTTTTAAAATTGGGATTATAGTGGCGGATTTCCAGACGTGGGGGTAGGAGCCTTTGCTAAGCATTACGTTGTACATTTCTAATAGGCGAAATTTAGCTTCGGAGGGCAAATGTTTGAGCATTGGGTATGAGATCCGGTCTATACCGGGAGTTTTACCTTTCGCGTACTGAAGGGCATATTTAATTGTTTTGAGGCTATATGAGGAGTTACCAATTAGGCGATTTAGATCGAACCATGTCTTCTTAGTAGAGGAAAGAGGTTTAATATTTGATGTGAATCTTTCAAAAGATTCCCGTTTTGCTCTTTTAGCTTTGTATTTAAATAAGGCATTGGATTTCCTGTAAGAGATCAAAGCAGCAGTGCTCCTAGTTTGTTTATAACTATGCCAAAGGGATTGCTTTAGATTCCTCAGATCTTGAAGCGTTGGATTTGATTGATTTTGGCTGCAAACAGATTTAGGTCGTTGGTTGGAGGAAAATTAAAGTTAACTTTGCATACGGCGCGGTACAGATTCCAGTTTGCCTTATCTAATTTAAATTTCGGAGGAGGTAGAAAGTCTTTGGGATTGGTTTGCAAATGTATATCTGTTACTATAGGATAGTAATCACTTCCATATAGAGACTCTTTTACGGACCACTTACAGAAAGGGAGCATCGATGCGGATGCTAAAATAAGGTCAATAGCCGTGAAGGAGTTGTGGGTAGAATGGTGGTAGCTGAGCCATCATTGAGAATAGTCAAAATTGATTTCGTAATTACCTCTTCTATTTGAAGCCCTCTTGAGTTATATGAAGTTGACCCCCACATTGGACTCCAGGCATTGAAATCACCAACATACAGGATTGGTTTCCTGGTAAGATCTACTATTTGAAGAATTTCGTTGGCTGTCACGAGTTGGGATGGAGGTATATACGTATTGAAAATACAGATATTGGGTTGTAGGATTTCGATACCTAAAGAGCATGTACCGCCACTTATTGGTATAGGTTTGTGAGCAATGTCTTTCCGGATGAGTATGCTAACACCTTGCTTAGAGTTGGAATTAGAGATTGAGTTGTAAAAATATGCAGTAAATTGCTTGGGGAGGCAACATTCGTAAAACTGGCTTTTATATGCGTTTCCTGCAGGCAAATAATATCCGGGTTGGTAACGTTTCAATAGTTGTAGTTCGTCATAATTGTTAAAGTAACCATTCATGTTCCATTGTACTAAAGTAATGGACATAAGCGGGAAAAGAAATTGGATATTAAAGGGTTGAGATCTGGATTAGACGATATTATGAGTCACTCATAGCATCGTCAGACAGGTCATTTTTATGTTTTTGGGTATTCGATTTATTTGTGTCGGGAGTTGAAATATTATGGTTAGAAGATGTTGTTGGGCTGTTTGCTTCGTGTTCAGCATGAATTTGTTGTAATAGTGCAAAAGATGGAGGGGATAGGTTGTGTTTGTTTTGATCATGTAGAGCGGTTCGGTTGAACTGATAAGAGCTTGTGTGGATAGGGAAAAGGGGAATGAGGGAGATGGAAGGGAAGGGGAAACGGAATGGGAGTTGTTTGGGATTTCATCGGACGAGATATTGGCAATTCTGGCCGTTTCCAAAAAAAAAATTTAGATAGGGACCAACTATTGGCTCTGGGAGAATTAATATACCTGGGGCTCGTTGGTCTTCTGATGGTGTGTCAAATGTCCTTCAGACTGCGGCACAGCATGTCCTCATAGATGGCTTGCTTGATTTGTCCTTATCTTAAGGTAACCATATGCATAACTCATTAAACCGCTTACTTGATCTGTGTTTCGCCTCTGATCCTGTAGGCGTAAGCCTTGGTAGAGTTCCTCCATTGACGCGACCTGAAGATACTTACCACCCAGCTTTCGAAGTTACTATCGATGCGGGTAATATCATAGGAATTACGAATTTAATTGGTCCGATCTGTACATGTGCTTTGAGATGACAACCACCGTGGACATTTTTTACAGTGCCATGAACTCTATATTTTCGTTAGGTGGTCCGGTAGGCAATGCGTTGGTCTCTAACAAACCGCCTTTTTTTCAAAAAAGAGCTAACACGCCTAAAAAATTTAAAGTCTAATAAACTAGGAAACCTGGCGAACTTCGTTTCGCCTCCAGATGGCTTCGTTTTATGTAACATTTCGTTTGGTGATAAAAATTTGAAAAATTTTTTTTTATTTGCAAAGTAATCGAGCCACTGAACTTTTTCACTTGCGCAGCACAAGGCCGCCGTTTCTCTTTTGAACTTTAATGCATTGCAATATCGGAAAATAGTCGTCATTGGTCCAATATCTAAATTTTGATCATCACTGTAGTTCTCCGTTGAGGCCAATGATCTTCGTGTTCTCACGCGTTTTCTCAATAGGGCACTTTCTTTTATTATATTTTGTCTTTCTTCGTTTAAGTTCTGTGAATACACTTGTTGATGATGATGTTCGTTCGCACATAGTCCTTTTGGACTATAACTTTAAATGCACGATCCACATAATTAAATTAATTTCATTTAAATTAATTCAACTAACCAACTTAAAGACAAATGCCTACACTTTATACATTTTATTGTTTTTAATTGAACGGGATAAAAAGTATCCTATGTCCGTCTCCTGGCTCTATGCTACCTCCCTACCAATTTTGACCCAAATCGGTCAAGCCGCAGTGGATGTGTTTTCATAGATTACCACATATTAATTTTGTTATTGATATGGTGTCACAGATTACCGATAAAAGATGACGTTGACATTCGTTACACGCGTTTTTTAAAATACGCAAAATTAAATGTTAACTTTTTCAATCCTTCTGAGAGATTTTCTTAATATTTGTTTCCATAAGAACCTAGTTCAGAGTATTAGAAAACTAAAACAAAACAAATAATAAGCCAAATCGGTCAAGCCGTTTTCATGTTATATGGCGAAAACAAAAAAAGGGTTCCATTTTCATATATATAGATACCGGTTCTCACACTGCTCTCTCTTGTTATCTAAGCCTTCGGTCGAACATTACCATGCATAACGCTCAGTGTTATATTATTATTTGACTCATTGTAGGGTTTAGTATATGCAGAACCCAAAACAGTTTTATAACTTTGTTTACACTAAGGGTAAACCAAATTTATACCCTTACACTCTTACATTTAATAATACTACCGCAAATTCTGACCAGGCCATCGCCGATCTTTTTGCGGAGTTTCTTAAAACAACATATTCTCCCTCTACCACTACAAGTCAGATATATTATTTTGCTACGCCCAGTTCGAACTTAATCTTCAGTCCCATCTCACACGAAAGATCTTTTATTTTAGATCTTCAACGTGATAAGCCCATATATTCACCAGGCCCGATGGAATACCAGGCTACGTGCTTAGATATTGTGCCGAGGCTATGTGTCTCCTTAAGTTGTTTACTTTATCTTCAGAATCCTCAGAATTTCCCCTTATCTGGAAGAATTTTTTTGTTATTTCTCTCAAAAAAAAAAATGTAACAAATCGGATGCCAGTAACTATAGTAATCTCAAAGTTATTGGCAATTCCTAGACTTTTCGAGAATGTAATCTCTTCCCACTTGCAACATTTATGCAGATCCGTCATTTCTAAGTGTCAGCAAGGTTTTATGAGGTGAAGGTTAACCACTACTGATCTGTTGGAACTTACCTCATTTGTTGTTAGAGGCTTCCAACGTAACCTTCAGGCCGATGTGATCTACACAGACTTTAGTAAAGCTTTCAACTCGGTTAATCACTTTCTTATTGTAAGGAAACTCGATTCTAAAGGGTTTCCTTGTAATCTTCTTAGGTGGATTTCGAGTTATCTTAGCGACAGAAGTCAAAAGGTTCTGTTGAAAAATGCTTTATTCAAAAGCCTGAAATCTGACGTCCCACACGGTAACCATCTTGGTCCACTGTTGTTGCCATCCGGAGCTTAGCCTGGATGGTGACTTAAGATTACCATCTTACTCTTGTAGACTTACCCTTATTAATTTACCCTCCTTAGCTTGGCGTCGTCTTTTTGAACAAACTTATTCACGGGGACGTGGAGAGACCCTACAGGTTTGGTCACCTCAATTTCCATTTTTCCCGACTATCATCTAGAACGTATATACCTTTAGTAGTACATCAATTTAGGTGAGGGCTTGAAGTACATGAACTCTTTATGGTTTTATGTACCGATTACAATCGCCCCTTTGATATAATAAACTAAAAACCTTATTACTTATATCCTTATTTTCCTCGTCTTATTTCCTTATTTTGTATTAATGTAGGACGCGAACGTGCTGTACGTTACACAATTTTAATGCAAACGAGTGTTAAACGAAAATAAAAGTTTTCTTTAAAATACACTGTAAAATTACATAATAGTTATTAGCTTAAAAAGAAAATATACTTTAAATATGGTTTCGAATACTTACCTTGTTTCAAAGTTGTACGTGGGCCTTTTAATGAACAAAAATGACGGCAAAAAATCTATGAACACCCGCTTTACCCAGGGGGCCATTCTATGAGTTTGGGGAGAACGGAAATGCACGTTCAGAACGACAACCGTCACGCAGATACTTTAAATGAATTATAGTTTACATTATAAAACAAGAAGGGGAGTTAACTTCGGCACGCCGAAGTCTGTATACCCTTGCACTTTAAAATTAGATCACTAGGAATTAACGCAATATATGTTATGTTAAAATTCAATGAAGTTATGCCTGCTTTAATTTCATAAGCCTTTACATTTTATGTTTATAGTTTTACATTTACAGTTTCGCATTTTCCTATATTTTAAATGATCGTTTATACGGCAGCTATAGTAGTCAGATTGTTATAAAATTTTACAAAACATTTTATATAAAAAATTGGCTTTATAGTAAATTTAATGACGGACAGCTTGACGGACAGACTTCTGACTGAAATAATAATATCTAACAAGGGTATAAATATATATATTTAGTTTAGGCAACATTACCTTATAGACACGAGAATCATAGCAAATATTAGATATTTTCCCAATAATGGCACAACCAGTGATGTGGGAGGTATAATTTCAACCACCAAAAGAAAGAACACATGAAGACTAATGAGGATTGAAATAGAGAGTGTAACCTTTAATAAAAGAAACACTATATTAATGTTATTGTCGTCATAGCAACAATTACACACCTTTTCTCCACTATCCGATGGTAAATAAAAAGTAAGAACAGTTAAAAATGAAATTCCCATACACGGTATAATTATATTAACCGTATAAAAGAGGGTTTTTCGTCTCATTGTTATATTAAATGTTATATCCAAGTAGGGTTCATCGCAACATGTGTAAAACTTTTCGTTTCTGCAAAATATAAAAGCAAAATATTCCAAAAGTTATTACGCCGATTATGCATTAATACTTAATTTTCCATTAAATCTGGAATTTATTTTAAAATCCAGATAGTGAGACACCCTTTATTTTATTTTTCCGCAACGCAAAAGTATATGTTTCAGGTGGGTTCCACCCTCATTTCCTTGTCAAGTGTATACAAAAACCGTCAAATAGAAAAAACCAATGTAGTCAAAGAGGTAAGAAAATATATAACAAGAAAGGACACTTACTTCGGCGCGCCGAAGTTTGTATACACTTGACTGTAGCAATTCGATCATAGAAAGTATTAGAATCTAAATAATATAAATTTGTGCTAAAAAATGAAATTATTCATACTTTTAATACAGCCACATATACTTATTATATTTACAGTTTTACCGTAACAGTTTTAGACTAACAGTGTGGAATATAAAGTATATATATATATATTCTTGAACAGTATCAACAGCCAAGTCGATATAGACATATCCGGTTGTTCGTTTCTACGCAAACTAGTCCCTCGGTTTTGAAGCTATTTGAATGAAACTTTGTAGTCTATATACTTTCACTCGTACCTCTTGGATGCATCTGCTAGTGATGCCAGTACTGGGGCACCTAGGTGTTTTACTCTTGCCTGCGTAAGGGCTGGGCAGTTACAGATGAGAGGCAACAATGTTTCGTTTGCTTCAGATTCATCGCATTTCCTAGTACGTCCGCCCGCCTTTCTAGCGTTCTTAGAGAGACTGGGTAATTTTCTGTTCTGTCGATTGCCAGTCCGATTCCTTCCTGTGCAAGTTCGTCTGCGATTTCGTTTCCATCTATGCCCTGGTGGCTGGGAACCCAGTAGATCCGCACTGACGTTGTCGTGCTTAAGATATCTAGTGCGTCCCTGCTTCCCAGTACATTTTTGGAACTGACCGCTGACGAATGCATGGATCTAATCGCCGCCTGACTGTCTACGAACAGGTTTACCGTCTCACATGGGTGGGCTATTTCCTGCGCAAGCTCTGCCGCCTTCCAGATGTACGACAGCCTCATCTCGGGGTCTATACAGTATATGCCCGCTCCAACTCCTCCTTCCATCTTGGATCCGTCAGTGTATATGTTGAGATATTGAGCATGGTCCTGAACCATTTTCCAGTCTTCAGGTCCCATGACTGTTAATGTTTTTTATTCAGGCAAGCGCAATGGTGGCCTTTTTCACCCTTTCTAGTACATTGGGTTTCCATGCCAGCTTGCTGTCCAGTACAGTGCCCAGGTATTTGACTTGTGTTTTCGGGGTCAGCCTGGTTGGGGTAAGTCTTATCCGCATTGATACTGAGTCCTACCTTGTCCGTCCACTCACATATCTCCCTGAGTGTTGATTCCATGATCAAACTAAGGGTCGATGGACAAACTCCCGTGATAATTATGCTTATGTCGTCAGCATAGGCTGTTATCTTCGGGGCCTTCCTCTCGAACCTTGTGATAAGGTCGTAGACCACTTGATTCCATAGGTGAAGCGATAGGACTCCGCCTTGTTGCGTGCCTCTGTGCGCTTCTTTCACCATGGAAGCGGTGCCCCAATCTGATTGTACCCGTCTGCAACTTAGTAGATTTCCAATCCAAAAGTTGATGGCGGGGTGCGTGTTGGTCGCTCTTAGGCAGTTCATTATTGCGTCTGTGCTTACATTATTGAATGCCCCGGACATGTCTACAAAGAATCCGAGCGCATATTCCTTGTTGTATACTAACAAATGCACCGCCGTCTCCACTGATTTCCCTTTTGTATATGCGTGCTGGTTGTTTGTTTTCGTGTTTGATGTTTAGGTCCAGCAGCTTTTCTAGCGTCTTGAGTAGAAAGGAGGCGAGGCTTATCGGCCTGTAGTCATTAAAACTGACGTGGCTGCTCTTTCCAGCTTTAGACAGGAAAACAATCTTTAAGGTCCTCCATTGGATTGGGATATAGTTTAAAAGACTCCGCTTTAAGTCACCGGCTACCATTTAAAAGATTTGATGTTCATTGTATTGTTCTATATTGAATGCATTTTATATGTTAACAATTTTGGTTACTTGGCCTTATTCTAAGCCTGCGAAGCTGACGCTAACGTCGGCAGAGGAGCGGGTCGCTTATGTTTATCACTTAATTCCATATACTTATGCTAGCAGTGAGAGAGTTGTAGTTTGTTACATACATGTGCTGTTTTGGGTCTGCGTGAGAACGCTGACCAAACAGTTTGAAGTGCTCGCCGTCTGAGTGTGGCGATCATATTACATTTGCACTTGAACTTGTGCTTGAATTGCAACAAAGTGTCACAATGAATTTGTATGTTTTGGGCATTGGCATATATTGATGTTATGCATTATGCTTATATGTTTTTATATTAATATGCGCACATCACATCTCCCTTTTTTTGAAAAATTACGTAATATTACGAAGTTATTTTTATAAAAAAGTATTTAATATAAAAATATATATATTTATGTGTGTGTGTTTTTTTTTTCAATTTGACAAGGCTGATCAGACCAATTCTTATTAATTTTTTTTTTTTTTTTTTAATTTTAATTTTAATTTGCAAATTTTTTTAACCTATCCTTGTATACTTTTTGTCTCTTATTGGACCGTATTTCAGAATAAAAGATTTAAAAATTACCTTTGCGACAGTATTGACATTTTTGTTTGTTACAGGTATCGCTACTAAATATTTGGTGAGATCACACATGAGTGTAACTGCGTATTCATTACCGTTTTCTGATTTAGACAATGGGCCAATAGTATAGACTATTACTCTGTCGAATGCTTTTAAGGGGTTTCGGTTAGTGTCAATGGTGTCATGGTATGTATCGTTGTTTTCGATTTCTGTCATTTTTGACATTTTCTTACATATTCCCTAATATCACGAGTCATATGTTTCTAATAATAGGCTCGCTTTATTTTTGATAACGTTTTAGTAATTCCTGTCTGACCTCCTAGTATGGGATCGTCATGATTTGTAAACAGTATTGCTTCTATATCATTTTTATTTTCTAGTATGGTCACCGGCTTGAGTAGCGCTACTCTTATTGATTTTCATATCTTATTGCCCATAACTTTGAAAGATTCTATTGAAATAGTTTCAAACATCTTTCCAATCGGTGCCACTTTAAGTTGACTAATGCCTTATACACCGGCTTCTTTTTCAAGCCTTTGGAAGAGCTGACCTAAATCAAGGGTTCCATTGGTGTAAAGGTCGTCAACATTAATTATTGCTATAACCTTCTTTCCAAGTTTAAATAAACATTTATCAGTGATTATTAGCAAGGTCACTACTTTACGTACCTCGTCATTATAAATGACTTCGTATATGTTGGGCTTAGAAGCGTCGACTATCTTTGGACGTTGATGCACTAAGGTCAGTACATACAAGTGGCCCGTATGACACCAGGCACGTGCCTGTTTGGGTTAGGTGTTAGTAGGCGCGATGGAAAATATAGGACAGAATACGAGGAAAATTGACTACCGGCGTGCTGCCAGATTGTTAGCTTGCATGCTTACTAAGTGTGTTAGTATTAAATATTTTAATTTGGGAAGGGATTCTACGTTAGAGATTAGTGTGTACAAATCATTATAATTTGCACATAACACTCTAAAAGGTTCATGCAGTTCAAAGGAGGTCCTACAGTGGCGCAACACTAATGGGATATAGGATCTAGTGGTTCTACATGGTACATGGAAATTAAGCTGACTCAACAAGTCAGCACTTTCCACATCACCATGGATAAGGTTAAAAATAAAGGTTATCCCTAGCATCGTTCTACGATTGGCTAAGGACGGCAAGTTTATTAATAGGAGTCTACTAGAGTAGGAAGGTAATCTTTGGTTTGCATCCCAATTTAAACCGCGTAGAGCGAAAAGTAAAAAGTTCTTTTGAACCGACTCAATGCGTTTACTATGGACGCCGTACTGAGGGCTCCAAACGCAGAATCCATATTCTAGGATAGGACGAACTAAGGAAGTATATAAGGATTTAGTAACATAGGGGTCATTGAATTCCTTCGACCACCATAGACGAAATATGATCAATAAAGTCAAGTTTTGGGTCCAAGCGGACGCCCAAATCGTCAACTGTATTAATTCTTTCCAAAGAACAGCCGTTCAGCGTGTAAGTAGCAAGCTTAGGAACGACACGAGAGAATGTCATTAGCTTGCATTTCGAGCCATTTAAGTTTAATAAGTTTACACAGCACCAAGTTTGAAAATTATTTAGATCTGTTTGTAAATCCGACTGGCAGGCAACGTCATTGTATTGCACGCAAAGCTTGACGTCATCCGCGTACATAAGTACTCTGGAGTTAGTCAAGACTTTGGGCAGGTCATTTATGAACAATGTAAACAATAAGGGTCCCAAATGGCTTCCTTGCGGGACACCAGATGTAACCCTTAGAATATTGGATAAATTATTCTTAAAGAGGACCTTTTGCGTCCTGCCATTCAAATAACTAGAGATCCAATTAAGAAGATCACTTGGAAAACCCATTGAATCGAGTTTTCTAACGAGGAGAGAATGATTAACAGAGTCAAATGCTTTACTGAAATCAGTATAGATTACATCTGTCTGACAATTATTATGGAAGCCCTTTATAATATAGGAAGAGAGCTCCAAAAGATTTGTTGTTGTTGATCTTCGCTTAATGTAACCATGTTGACATGGAGAAATAACCGATCTACAAAGGTGCTGTAAATGAGGGGTGATAATATTTTCAAATAATTTTGGGATGGCCGACAACTTAGAGATTCCTCTATAATTGCTGGCATCCAATTTGCTACCTTTTTAGTGGAGAGGAATAATAAACGATTCCTTCCAAATAATGGGAAAGTGGGAGGTTTCTAAGGACAAGGTAAACAATTTCAGAAGGGGATAGCACAGGGCGTCGGCACAATACCTGAGCACACAGCCAGGAATTCCGTCGGCACCTGGCGAATAAACTGGCTTGACACGATGAAGATCTAAAAGGAGAGAGCTTTCGTTTAG